TGAGCACGTCCTCTGACGCCATATCCTTAGGTAAATTATAGATTATAAGTGCCGCTCTATAGTGAAGTCTTCCTATTGACTCGAGATCAGAATTGCAACACGAACCCCCCAAAACTAAACCGTAAGTTTTGTGGGGTTCGTGGTGTAATTCGGACCTTTTTACGTTAATAGAAAGACTTCTCTGAAAAGCGGCACGTATAACATATTGACAACACCTGCTTCCATTAATGCGACGTTTAATTTAAAAATTAATTGGTTTGTTTTACCCCGCTACTCATAAGTTTTAATCACTTATCGGCACAAGTCATTCGATTGACATTGTCTATTTGCAGTTCAATTTATGCTTCGCTAACACCCAGCCAACGTGATGCTATTTAAATATAATGTTCTTAGATAATAAAATTTTATTTGTTCAAAACGCTGCAAGATTTACATTCAAAGACAGCAACAAATATAAAAGTCCGTCGTCGGAAGAATTAGACATTGCTGACGTGTTTTATAAAATTACTGTTGGACAAATATTTTGTAGCTTTGAAAGGTTATACACTTCGCTTGAGGGAAAAGTTTTTTACCGTCTGTATCTGTCATTGAAAAGGGCTGGTGAAACAGACTTTTGCAAGAAACCTTTTATTCTTTCTTCTTTGATTAATGTCAAGGTAAGCTCTTGTAGCTCAGTTATGCATGACGTTTCCTGATATTTAAAATTCTAGGATCGCGATTTTTGTCCCACTTCGCTGCTCTTCTTTTTTCTTTAATTTGATGTTGTCACTTATACCAACTATCATTGGGGTCAAAATTAACCCACAAACTTTTTTTCTATCTTCCAAAGCGTAAAATTTTGTTTGTTGGCTGGCTATTTTCTTTTCGCATTTAAATTGAACATGCGCCATAAACTAAACACAGAATAGACCTTAATCACAATACCCTCCATCGTAAAGCGCGCTTTATTGATGGGTAAATGCAGTGTCATGTGGTTTCTCAGGGAAGTACGTATACAGATGATGTAAGCAATCGCGGTAGAGATTGTTTAATATTCTCTAAAAACGAGACAACGATTTTAGTCGCACAAAACGTACTGTTTGAGTTTCGACAATGTTTAGTCAATATTGCTTGCTCTGAAGACATCTACGGAGTTCTTCCTTTTCTACTGCCTAAAATTAACAAACTCGACCCCGATTACTTAGCTTGTATTGGTAAATTTCATCAAATGCTTGAGAGACCACATGATATTGCTAATATTTTATCCCATCAGTCCTCATCGGCCCTTTCAATGGCGGCGGGTATTGTGAATAAGATATATATATTGTCTTTTAAGTAATCAATCGTGTTTGGAAGCTTTTAAGATGTCCTTAGGTTTTTCCGGATTTTATGGCGAAGATGGTTATAATTCCCTCGGAAATTGCTCCCTCTATACGCTTTCAAGTCAGAGGTATTTGATCCTTTCTGAAGTCTGTTTTATTTCTTTTTCGGTTTTCTTGAATCATCACGAAAATTGGACGTGTGAATCTTTTTGTGTGAACTTTAGCTACGTGCAAACGGGCGCAACAACTCCCAACATTGTTGGCCCAACAATGTTGCTATCGGTTTCAAACTTTGCGCAACAAATCCCGGTAAACGGACACAGCATGTAACATCCAACAATGTTGGGAGTTGTTAGCCAACAATGTTGTGTCCGTTTTCACGGACAGGCTTTTGACTTAAGTATATGTTTGTCGTTTATATCTCTGTATTGTCAAACACTGAAATTGATTGTCTCTTTCCAACACAAAAATAAAAATAAGTAAAAGGATAAGAGAATCCTTACAGTTGTACGGCACCAGTCTCAGTTATTGAAGGAAAACCGTTGCACTCGGACGCAACAAATCCCGACAATGTTGTGCCAACAATGTTGCGTGTTGTTTGCGTCCGTGTTGCAAAGGTGTACAAACGGATTCAACAACTCCCAAAAAGTCACAACAACATGCAACAGGGTGTGAAAAAGGACGCAACATGTAATATCCAACAATGTTGCGTCCGACTTTGCACGGGGCGTCCTAACATCGTTGGATGTTACATGTTGCGTCCGTTTGCACACAAAGCACACCCTGTTGCAAGATGTTGCACGTTGTTGCGTCGTGTTGTTGGGAGTTGTCGTGCAAAGTTTGAAACACGTAAAACCTTTAGCTACGTGCAAACGGACGCAACAACTTTCAACATTGCTGGTCGTTGCTGTGTCCGTTTGCACATAGCTTCAGCCTAATAATAACTGATTTAGTTTGAATTTCATTTAAATAAGTTTTAAACAATCTGAACAAAAACTGAAAGCGAAGGATAAAGTTATTCATATTTTACTATCTGAATGTTATATATATGTAAACTGTTGACACGATAAAAAGCCGAACTGAAACGCACTTCCGAAAAACATATCCCGCGACCAAAGTAAATTTTTGTACGAAGTGACACATGAAGTGAGAAGTGAAGTAATTGAGCTCTTCAGAGAGGGAGCTGGAAACTGAAAGGATGACCAGCCGGGAATATCTCGTCGTGAGAACTTCTGCTTCCCTCTTTTGCTTTCTTCTTTTTCTTGTTTCATTGATTTGATCTTATAAAAAGAAGAAAAGAAAAGAAAAAAACCGGCATTCAACTACTGTTCATTTATGACCGATCGATGCTGTCCAGAGCTAAAACCAGGTTTTGATTCATTGGTGTGCAATAAAGCGCCAGCCAAGTTAAATTGCATTTTATCTCAGCATTACATGAATTCAGGGTTAGAAAATCGTGGAAAAAGTAAGTATTTGGCGGTAAAAAGCCGAGCTGAAACGCACTGCCGACAGAAGTGCATAACCCGCGACCCTAAGAAAACTCGTGAACAGGTGAGAGGCAATGAAAAACATTATTTTTTCAACTTGATTTTAATAGACCTTGTCACTGTTTTCGACGCCACCTTGACGAGTAGGCAAACGAGTGAGAAATTACAGTGTTTGTATGGGAATCTAATAATAATAATAATAATGGAATTTATATAGCGTTTATACATCGCTGTTCTAAGCGCTAAATGTTCTAATGTCGAATAATTTCCGTCAGGAGCCCATAACCCGGAGCGTGCAACTGCCATAAATTCGTGCAACGGCGTTTTTACAAGTGAGTTTATTTTTAGATGAGCTTTTCCCGCGAAAAATGACTGTTGTCGCTTGTACCTTTTCACAGTCGGTTGTTTCAAAGATGATTTCGATTTCCCTTTGGGTGAATTATGCGTTGTAACCGATGAGGTAGACGTTCCTTGCTCTTCTACGTTTTCCAGATCTTCCTCTGAACTGCTAGTTTCCGTGTAAATACTGAAATTGTCGCTTGAAGTACTGTCAGAAGAATCCTGTGAAGGTTCCTCACGTGCGTCCGCCATGCTTTTTTCAATGTGAAGGAGTTGTCCTGGTTACGTATTAAAAGTTTATTATTGATAACGCACTTGCTTGTGATTGGCTTTTCGAAAGCAATTCGCGGGAAAGGCTGATCTAAAAATAAACCTACTTGTGAAAACGCCGTTGCATAGGCGCAGTATGGAAGTTAGACGCTCCGGTTTATGGGCTCCTGTTTCCGTAGAACACCTGTTCTGAAAAAAATATCAATTGTAAACTAAAGCTACAAATTAAAGCAAAGGATTGTCCGAAAAAATTTTGGAGGCGTACCTGTGCTTAAATTTAGATTTTCTATATATTTGTTTGTAATTTTCCCGAGACGTTCTTACAGACAAACTGAAATATATAAGAAAATTAAAACGTGGTTCTAGGTCTTCTAGTGCATGTAACGCCCTCAAATTTTTTCAGTAGAATCCGTAAGAGTGAACCTTTTACAAATCATATTTTTTCAGAACAGCCGTTCTACGGAAATTATTCGAAATTAGATTCTCAGTACAAACACTGTAATTTCTCACGCATTTGCCTACTCGTCAAAATGGCGTCGAAAACCGTGACAAGGTCTATTCGCTCTCATTTTGAAATTACTGTTCCAAATATCTTCAATGTCTTCTACTTTTTCCGTCGAAATTATATTAATCACCAAAAACGGAAGTCAAAGGAATCTGGATATGGACCACCCAAGTTTGCAGGCCGCAAAAGTATACTAAACCTTCGCTACGCAAGGACCTCCTCACGGTTCTCAATAATAAATAATAAAACACGGGCTGAAAATCGATGAAGTCGATCGAGAAAGCGGCCTTTTCTTCATTTTTTCGCATGTGGCAATTTTATATGTAACAGTCGGGAGTTTTAGATTTTCATTTTTGCTTGTTTCATTAAGTAGATAACAGTTGACATTAAAATTTCATGCTAAGAAACACTCAACGGCAAAAATATCATAAACAGACATTCCAAAAGCGTGAGCGTTACCAGGTATTGTCCGTCATTCAAGTCGGATTTTCCTTTTAACCATGCACTTCATATTTATATAACTTTTTTTCTTTCATTGCTAACACGTTTCATGTTAAGGAGTTTCATGATAAAGAAACCTTAAAATCTTAAAAATCGAAATGAATGGAGCGTTCTATTTCGATCCGAAGACAAGCAATTGCTAAACAGGTAACATTCAAATCATGATAATATTTGAGTGAATTTCTTCCTTCAATCACTCTCCGTTGTTTATATGAAAATGACATTTTAACAAAGGATTTTTCCTCAAGCAAAACAAATAAGTTATTTATAAGCACGTATTTATACGGGATTAATTTTTAGCTCCCACTTTCACTGATGACTTTGTTCCTTTTCACTCACGGAAGATCAGAGTAACACACATAAATTCTTAACGGTACTCATCAAAACCGATAATTTGTTTTGGTAACAACTGCTCTAGAAATATCTTTTACACAAGCAGGGGCCAAAAAACGAAATTTTTGTGACATAATAGTATACTGAAGAGATGCAGGTGTTTAACGAGCTCATTAAATATTCATTAAATTGAATTAGAACATGGTAGTGAAGAAGTTATAAAGGTCAAGTAAATATATTGTTGCTGCAAAATGTTCCTTGCAGACACATGATAAAGGTGACAAACTGATATCCACTCCTGCGACGATGAAAAGCAAGAGTTTTGGTATTTTGATACTTCTTTCATTTTCCCGCTGTTATCAAACCAAGGAGACCATATATATTGGCGGGCTTTTTGGCCTTGACACAAGTCGTGGTGGGTGGAATTCGGCGGGAATTATTCCCGCCGTTCAAATGGCCTTTGAGGAGATAAACAACAGCTCCAAAGTTCTCAAAGATTACCACTTGGAACTGCTGATTAAAGACTCTCAGGTTAGACGAGAAAAACTAGGTCCGTCCTTAAGAATCATTTTTTTGTTTATAACATGATACCTTATAAAACATTAATCCTCGTTCACCACAGTTTAATACAGCATACATTTCAAATATTTATTTGACTGAGAATCTTTGATAAAGTAATCAAATGAACAGAGCGTCGTCTGCTAAAACGCAAATTCTTTATTTCAATAACCTCCGTCTTTCTTGAAAAGCACCTTTTCTTCCATGATATCATGATGATATACAAAGAAAAGGATATCATAAAACGAAACCTTAACATTACTCTGGGAAAAACAGCAGATGCTTTTAGCAGGTTGCCACACTTTGTTTTTTAGTTATTGAGTCAGCTTTTCACCACACTCTAATGAACCAAACATACAGCACCTACGTTATTTGCTTTTACTCAACAAACTATGGTATATTGAAACAGTCCCGGGGTCACACGGTCAAGGCCTTTTTAGCTGTGATCAATTTAGAAATACAGATTTGAGTTTTGAAATACGGATTTTCTAGATTTTTAACCGATCGTGAAAGGTTTGCACAACAGCCAAACTTTAATTAATATGTCAGACAGATCGAAGTCTTTTGGGCAATGATCCAATACTCTTAATTATCTGTAAATTTGAAGACTTTAATGGTCTTCCCTTCATACTAATCAAAACAAAGGCCTCGTCCACGCGTTTTCTCGACTTTAGCCTTCCGTCCACACGTTAACGGGATTTTCAGGCACCAAAAACGCAGGTTTTCATAATAAATGGTCTCCAAGGAAGAGATTTTTGAAAACGCCGTTTTCTCTTTTACGTGTGGACGGATGAAAACGGACGTTTTCTAATACGTATAATATATTTAATTTCATACATCATATACTACTAAACATTACGCATGCTCAGGGATGATCCATCGTATTTCCATTGTTTTAGCGTTTTCACATGGACGGGCGAAAACTGTTCGAATACGCTACGTGTGGACGCGTTTGAGTTTGAAAAAGGAGAAAAAACTGTAAGTTTTCAAAACAGGGGACGTAAAATGGATTTGCACAAAGTTGCTCCTTTCAAATCTGTCGCAAATATATAAATACTGAGGAGTAAATATATGGCAAGAATGGCAAACGCCACATTTGTCTTTTGACTAGTTATTTACACCCGCTGTTTCAGTGGTATACAAATGTGGCATTTACGATCTTTGCCATTCATTTACTCCTCAGTTGGTTTACATTTTTTCGACATATTTGCTGGGATCAACTTTAGGCAATCCATTTTTTCGTCCAAGGAAAACTGGATAAGTGCCAACCAAGGCCTAAATCTTAGAAGCAAAATAATAGCATTTTTCAGCATTTTATGTCAAGCGGTAGAAGGACTTGGCATATATAGTTTCAACCGTTTCATTCGCGCGAAATCATCCCCCTTTTCTCTTGTTCTCCTAAGTTTGTGTGCTTCTTTATCTGTTTAGTGCAGTGTAGGAGAAGCTATACGGAGATCATTAGAGTACTTATCATCGGGGGAACCTAAAATCATGTTCTTAGGACCAGCATGTTCTAAAGCAGCTTTACCGGTCGCTGAGTCGATTCATTACTGGAATGTAGTTCAGGCAAGTCTAATGATACTTCTGAAAGAGTTATGTACTTATTATTGTATAAAAAAAATAAAGATGGAGTGAGAGAGAGAGCGAGAAAGAAAAACTCAAGTAAGTAAAAGAAAAAAATTACTTGAGTGACAAGCTGTTTGATTCTAGCTAATTGAAATGTTAATAAAAAGAGAAATCTTAGAAACCTTATTTTAGAATGCTTTTTCTTTCAAATTAACAAATGTCAATTAACACGTGTTACTGAATGAGCAAACGTAGTAGCTATACCACTTACATTCTTAAAAGAAATTTTCAAACGAGTTTCTGAATCAATTCACCTAACACATCTTTCTTCTAGGTAACGCCCCATCGATCATGCTTAACTGGCTATTAAACTGTAAAAAACACAGGCTTATTAGGGTCGGTGTTGACGGACTGGTTTTTACTTTGTGCTTGTGTTTTGATCACTGTCACATTATAATTTATAATAACAATGAACACTAAGCTCAATAAAAATCTTTTACTTTTCTTAGATTGGGTTTTCCTCTTCGTCTCCTTTGCTGTCATCGAAATCGCTTTACCCGCTATTTTTTCGAACAAATCCTTCAGAAACGTTCTCTAACCTTGGACGGATTGCAATTCTGCGACGGTTCAACTGGAAGAGAGTTGCCATCCTTCAACAGAATAATGATGTCTTCACAGGGATAAGTAATTCTCTGGTAGATATGCTTGAGGCAGCTAATTTCTCAGTCCTCGCTTATGAGAGTTACAAAGATCATCCAAAGTTTGCTATAGAAAATCTGAAGGTAAGATAACTTGTAGCCTTTTTACAGATATCTTTTTTTTTCTTTTTATCTTCGAAGACCCACCCCATCCTCTTGCACTTCGGGTCGTGAATAAATTCTAACTATTTCATTTGGCCGATGGAGCCGATATATCTTGTCTGTGAATGTAAGACGCAAAGAATAATAATGTTGTCTTACCCCGATTTTAACTCTTACATTGAGCTTATGGTCAAGATCACTTCCGTTTTCCCTTTTAAGTACATCTGCCGTGGAAATGAATTATTTATCGCTAAAAGATTATTTTTGACCGACGGACGGTCGGGCGGTCGGTGCACGGTCACGGTCTGATGGGTAGATTACTTCATTTTCTTATCCATGGTGCTCCGCTGACGCGCTTCGCGCGCGAGAGCTCAGCTATAAATACAAATTCGAGTTTCTGCCTCGCGCTGATGACGCGCGTTCCCGAGCAATGCCAGTTCCAATAAAATTGTAATCTCGTTTCGCAAAGAACAATATGATAAATTCGAGAGATTAAGGTTCATGTTTACCGCAAACTGCAAACGTCAGATTCAAGTTGAGAATTTCTCAGAATAGAAAATAAGCAGATAAAAACAGTCCCGAAAGATTCATATGGTTAAAACTGGGATAAAACTACTTCTTTTTGTGTAGAAGTAATAAAGTGTCAGAAACGGAAAATAAGGGGAAAACTTGGTCACGTGGTACAAATTCACGTCTGCCGTTTTGGAGTAAACGTGAATCGTAATCTCTCTATCATTCGTAATCAGCACCATATTAATCAAAGCATTCATAGCTCTACTTTGATATATCACTTTTGCAGAAAAAAGATGCTCGCATAATGTTTGCATTCTTCTATCCTGACCAACATTACGTCGTATATTGTGAGGTAATCATTTTCAGAGAGTAGGAATTAGCTAGTGAAGACATCTGCATATAAACTGTCTCTGAGATTATGAATGCACCCCGAAAGCAATTGTGGACGTCTAATTTGACGTGTGAATGGCAGCGATGGAATATTGCCCGCTGCTACACTGGTCTAAAGTACTTCCCTGCGTACGTAGTTTAGACGGAGCTTTTTCTTTGTGGTAAATAATCGCCTTTTAACAAATATCACGAGGCCCCGGTTGCTCAAACGTTTGATAGAGTATCCCGGATGGGTCACCATCAAACAGATAAGTGTTAGGGAAACCAATAGCTTTATCTTCTCAATAGGGATTTATCCATCTGTGGATAGCCTTATCCATCTTCTGAAAAACTAGCACCAGAACTCTATAAATGATATGCAGTCGACTCTCTCTTAAGGGACACCTCTATAAGTCGGACACCTCTGTAAAACAGACACCTAGAGTTGGTCCCTGCCTTTCTTTACTCCCTTTATTTGTCTCTCTATAAGACGGACATCTTTCTAAGAAGGACAATTAGTGCCGGGCCCTAAGGTTTCCATCTTAGAGAGACTTGACTGCAGATTTTTTTTGCTAAAATAATACCAATTTCTACGTTTGTAGGCGTTTAAACAAGGCATGTTTGGTCCTAAATATGTTTGGTTTTTAATCTCGGGTCGGAATCAAGACAACTGGTGGAAAGTAAAAAGCCCGCTTGTTGATTGCACTCCAGAACAAGTGCGAAAAGGATTAAGCAACAACATCGGAACTGGCGAGTTAAAGCTAAGTCCCCTCCCTGGGACAACAATTCACGGAAAAGTAAGTGTACGGGAGTATAACAGCCTTTATTATCGTTTGCGCTTAATATGGAGTCTGCTAGGTATAGGTTTCACTGCAGTAGTGGAGGGGTCGGGGGGGGGGGGGGGGTGGGTGGAAGTACAGTGGAGACCTTCCTCCTCCCCTATAGTGTATTCCCGGCTGCTCCCCCTTTCCCTGGCTTCCTCTTTTTAACACTTAAGCATTATTGCGTGATTCTTCTCTATTTCTCGCGCTTCCTGCATTTTTTGTACTCCTACTGGCTTCTCTTTCCTCTTCCGCCTCCCTTCCCCCTCCCGCCCCCTATTCTCCCCGTCTCTCACCCCATGGCCTCCCCCACTGCATTAGTTGCTACACATAAATTGCAAACTCTTTGTGCCATATATGTCATATTGACGCATAACCAGTCGACCTCAACACTTGATGAAAACTGTAACACTGTCTAAGCAGTCAAAAGGTTGCGATGCATTGGTCAAGTGATTGATAAATTACATTCTGAGACAGACGATGATAAGATCACACTGATTCCAAATCAGTTAATTTTTCATATTGTATAAGTCACGATAAACCATACAAGTCGAAATTAACACGTCTAATCTAATTTTGATTATAACTAACTGGTGCACAGAAAAGAATTGTCTTAACACTCAATAAATCGACAAAAATTTTGATATCAGAAAAAGATCATTGTCATTTATCGTATTGCATTAACACTTCCTTTAAAAAAAATCGTAAAAACTTAATTATAAAGTTAATACCTTCCTTTCTTTTTCTGTCACTTGTTTTAGACACCCCAAGAGCTTTACTTTGATTACCAAGGACGACTCAACAAGTCAGGGTACCGCGAAAATACGTTCGCTTCGTACGGATACGACGCCGCTTGGACTTGCGCACTGACTCTCAATGCCTCTATTGATGTCTTACAGCAGAGAAACCTGACACTAACTGATTTCAACTACAGTCGTGCTGACATGAGCAAAATCTTCGTTGACATTATGAAGGGAATTTCGTTTCGAGGGATGACGGTAATTAACTTACATAGTCGTACATAAGTTTTTCTAGTATCAGAAATCTATATCTAATAAACCCATATCGTTTAGGACGTTACACCAAGGACCTGAGTACAACGATAGCGAACCATGGTGTTTGGGAAGAAATCTCCATGAATGTTTCGTCCGCTCTGCTGGTTGAAGGATGATGATGATATCTTACAGACATTCTAGTTACACAAAAAGAGGATAAAACAATTATAGATGTGATCATTATATTTAACAGTTAATGAATGAGGCTGAGTATCTTATGAAGAATTATGAAGATCGAGGAGGGTGTTATCCGTCGAGGCCGTTGGCCGAGGCAGATAACACCCTCCGAGATCTCCATAATTCTTCGCATGATACGAAAGCCGAATTCAATAACTGTTTTATTATTCATTCAAAATAATTCCAAGTTTAAAAACATAGCTAAAAGATGCTTACTTCCATCGATCCATCGATGTTCAGTTCATCTTCGATAGTGTACGTTTAGGTTTGTCCAGCTCCGCAAATATTCTCCAAATAGCAGATGTCGCCCTTCGAGTTGTCTTCTTGCTGTTCTTGCCGTGTTTTTAGCTATTTTTTCGCCTAGTTCTTACTCTTGAAACGAGTGAAATGTCCGCCATTATTTTAAGTTCACAACCAAAACAACTCAACCTCGTCCCCAGTTCTTCTCGGTTAACGGTGCCTTAACCTGCGAAAACGCTGCATTTTTGACGTCATTTCCTCGTTAAAGTCAAAATTCCTCCAAATTTGGTCATCAGTAACTGGTTATGGTGAATTAAACATGTGCTTTTAGCCAATCAGAATTGGGGAAATATTTTGAATGAATAATAATATGTCTTAATTTTACTATTCAACCTTTTAACATAAGTGAACTGTTCCCGATTTATGATGCTTTAAATAAGAAATTAGGGACATGTTTGGATGGCGTATTTGATGATAAGAACGAAGTACCGGCGATTTAATTGTATTACTGAATAGGACTCAGGCTCCAAGTATTGAAATACTGGCCCAGTGCTCACTGCCCACGCATGCGCACCACCACAATTTCGTTAACGCGGAATAGACTTCTATAGGCCTTTTCCGAGTTCCATAAACTCTCAATTTCAAAACGAGACAAAGTGAGGTTTTTTTGCATGAGAATTAAAAAATCATTTTCATATCGATCACTTTGAACTTGGCCTAGCTTTGATACAGAAGCTTAACTTAAGTTAACTATGAAATGGCCTATTGAATAATTGTATTACCCACAATTAACCCATAGTCGTCTTTATTAAATAAAAGTTACTCCATGCATATTTTATATTATAATTTTTGCAGGGTCAAGTGAAATTTGACAATAACAATGACCGTATATCAAAGCTGGAGGTTAGACAGATACAAGGTACATGCCTTTTCCTGGAGAATCAGGACGATTTCAAAGGAAACGATGGTATATATTAATTTGAGTCTTGCATCAAATTTTCTTCGTAGGGGATACTGATAGAAGAGTTGCATTCTACAACATGGAAAGTGACACTTACGAAGAGGATGATGACAGTAATTACATGTGGGATGGTAAGAGGACTTTCGGTTAATAAAATGGATAAATTACACAGCCAATTATATGCAGTGAAATTAAGGAAATAGTAATGATAATCTCAGATGTATGATGCTCGACGGAATGTCACTTTTACAGAATCAGCACTATAGAGGACTCGGGAGGCAAATCAAGATTAACTTTCTTCTAAGGCTGTATGTCTTTTGATGTAAATAGAGAATGAAAAAACCGCTCGCAAACAATTAAAATACCGTAAATGCTCTATTAAGCCCCCTCTCAAATACCTCCCCCCTCTCTCATAAGCTCTTCCTTTTCCGGGGAGGAAAGTCAATAAGCTCCCACCTTTCTTTTACGCCTCCCTCCCCTCCTCCTCCTTCTTATTTATTTATAAACGATATCGATAGACTGTAACAATCAATCACGACTGTAAAACTGTACTTTCGTGTGGACTGACGATGATTTATTCATCAGCTGGAAGTTTTGATTTGCTTTTCATCCTCGACTGCATGACCTTGTACTTGAGCTTTTCCACTTTGCATTCTTACTAGTTCTTTATTGTGAACTGATACCATCGTATGTGCTAAATTAAATAAGCCCCCCTCTCAAATAAGCGCCCCGTCTCCAATAAGCCCTCTCTTAAATGTGTTTGAAATAATAAGGATTTACGGTAGTGTTTGAGAGGCAAAAAGAATGTTTTCAATCGTTCTTATAAATAGAGGTAATTTTAGACTTGAAGGAGTAACAGAAGAAAAAAAACTGGATGGCATTTCATTCCAAATAAATGAAATCATTGCACTCTTTTTGAATCAATAAACATATTGATAGATTTTGGTTGGTATATTTTACGGATAATAATGTACGATAATTTACGTATACAGTCAACTCTCTCCAAGACGGACACCTTTGAGACCGGCACTAAGTGTCCGTCTTATAAAGAGTCAAATAAAGGGAATAATAAAGGCAACTCTAGATGTCCGTTTTACAGAGGTGTCCGTCTTATAGAAGGGTCCGTTAAGAGAGAGTCGACTGTACTGTTACCGCCAGCACTAGCAATTCTTTCCAACACTGGGAAGCAGAGGTGTTTAAGTTAATCATGTCTCATCAGAGATGACATTTTGATCTTCCACGTTCATTTTTCACGTCTTTGTCAATATAAGGGGGAAAAGTTCCTGTTGATGGTCTGACAATAGAAGAAAGACTAGAAGGTGTCCATCCAGTGCTGTTCTGGTTTGTCTTCAGCCTTTCCATCCTTGGTGTTTTAATGGCTATTTGTTTTCTCATATTCAACGTCTACAATCGAAATGTCAGGTATAGAACCTCAGATTTAAATATAGTTTATAGGTGCCGGGGCCGGGTGCCGTCCCCCGGGGAGGGGGGACTAAAAAACGTTTTTTTAGGGGTGGCTCCGCCCCGAGTCCGACCCCTTACCCCTTTAAATACCATCTTTGACAGAAAAAGTATGCCTTTTCTATAACTTCTATTGACAACTGGTACCCCTTTCATATGCCTAGTTTAGAACTTTGCATCCCTTCCAACTTCTGTGAACGCACTGTCTACAGGTTGTGCAATTCAATATTCTAAACATATTGGGAAGACTATCTAAGCCTCCTTTTAAAAAGAACTCTAAAAAAGCTACTGAGTTAGTATCTGCTTCGAGTATGATCGTAGTTGGCAAATTTAACGGCCTTGGCATAATTAATATCCCCAAAGAATTCTACAATAAACATAACTTTGCACAATAAAGTACAAACGTATATGAATCAGGTTATCTCTAAGTTTTGGCTAATTTTCTCTTACAGATACATCAAAATGTCTTCGCCTAATTTAAACGACCTAATTATAATTGGCTGCATACTTGTGTACATCTCCGGCATATTGCTGGGTATGAAAAAAGAAGAGAGTAGCATTGGCTGCCAGGTAATTAATGATATAACTAGTCAAAATTAGATAGGTTTTAAAATCCAAACGTCACACATCACGTGACAATGAACCAGGTCAGGAAGAGAAAGGTGTGAACGTGACTATGCCTAGAAGTAAAAAATACTAAACTTAAGTTGACTAAGTTAGTTATTACCCTGAGAAAACAGCAGAATGAATGTAAATATAATAAATGTCTTTTAAAGAATATAAAATAAAACAAATATTCCTTTGTTGTTAGGCTGAATTATGGATTGTCGTCATAGGATTCACTCTGGGATTTGGTGCAATGTTCAGCAAGACCTGGAGGGTACACGTGATCTTCCTTAATTCTGCTACCACGAAAAGGGTAAAACATTTGCAAACTTTACTTTTCTCCACTTCCTTTTTCCTCCATTACCGTATTTCTCAGTGATGATCCTGAATATTGGTACAGTCGACTCTCTCTTAGAGGACACCTCTATAAGACGGACACCTCGGTAAAACGGACACCTTGAGCTTTTCCTTGCCTTTCTTTACTCCCTTTTATTTGACTCTCTGTAAGACGGACATCTCTGTAAAACAGACATCTAGAGTTGGTCCCTGCCTTTCGTTACTCTCTTTATTTGACTCTTTATACTGAGACGGACATTACTCTTAGACTGACACTTAGTGCAGGTCCCAAAGGTGTCCATCCTAGAGTGAGTTGACTGTATGTCAAATAAAGCGTCGTAGAGCTCACTCAAAAATTGAAAATAATTTCAATAAATTTTTAACGCTTTGTTTTAGCAGGGAAGTGAGCTAAGGTGCTCTAACTAGTTAACATGCACTCTACCCAAGTAATCATAAAGACGTAATACAAAAACGACTTGGAAGTATTAACAATCCCTTCCAGCAGGAGGCAGCCAATTGGCTACTAACAAGCATGACCGAGGATTGAAACTCTGGCCTGGAAGGCCGAGAAATAAATCCAGCTATTGGTTGTAGTGAGACTCCAACCCAGGACAGCTGGACGGCAAGTTTAACGCGCTGTATCTATCTGCCAGGCATTATTATTCCAAAGTAATGTAACTCGCGCGTATCGACGGTTGTTTTCTGAAAAAAGTTATGTTATTGCAGGACTTCGATTCTCTTTCATTTGTTCTTAGTATCTAATCGAAAGCTAAGGTTTTTCTATTTGATATGAATGACTTTGTGCTGTTTTTTACAATCCCCAGATTATCATTCGGGACCGACAGCTGTTTGGTATGGTTGCTGGGCTCCTACTGATAGACCTCGTTCTTCTGATCACGTGGCAAATTGTTGATCCACTGAGACTGAAAGTTCAAAATCTAACACTAGAGGTAAAGAATCGTAATCGGAATATTGCTAGGAGTAGCCTTTATGACAACAACAACAACAACAATAATAATATTAATAATGGTAAAGGTAAATGATAATGATAACGATAATGATATCCAATGATAATGAATCATTGGATAATGCAGTTCTAAAGTTCTGATTGGCTTAGCCATCATGGTATATTAGCCATTACAACATGCGCTCCAAATATGGTAACGGTACACGTCTGCTCAAAATTAAAAACAAGCTGAAAATCGGTTGTTTTTACAAATAAAGTCGGGAAGAATGTTTTTAGTAAAACAATTATTCCACTGGCACTTGTTGGATATGAGATGATTAATTATAGCCAACTCAGCGCTACGTGCCTTGTTGGCTATCTACAATCTCATGTCCAACGCCCACACGTTGTTGAGTACAGCTATCTGTTATGTACCGTTGGTCATTTTGAGTTTGCGCCTGAGTCTGGGTTGGTGTTGTTTGAAATGAATGAATGGAAATGAAGGGACTGTTGAGGAGACGCTGTTTACAATATTTTTTTTGAACTGCTCGGAGGTATCACGAGGTTGTGCAGGATACTCACCCAACCTGTGATGTGAATGATGTGAAGGTTGACCACAACACCGGGGTCTACGTCCCCTAATCTTTTGGAACAGTGGTTTTTTTTTTTTACAAAAGGACCAAGTTTAAGGTCAGTCTTTTATCATTCCTTTGCTTTTTATGGGCCAAAATATCAGCAGCATTTATGTCTTCTGATTCAGATGTCGTTAGAAGATGATGATACTGCCATACAGCCTTACATTGCCACATGTACCAGCCAGAGTATAACGATTTGGCAGATCTGCATGTATGGATATAAAGGTAAATTAAATAGCGCTCGGCTTCAACAAGAAAGCCCGATAGCCTACAATGTGTTATACTCGCATTCGTAACAACAACGACAACGAGTTGTCGAATATCATGCCCTAACTCCGGGTGTCGTACGCGTAGTTATGAAATAATTAAATGTGATTACTTAGTAACTGAAAGTCTTCTGCAACTTCATTCCTAGCTTGTTTTCTTAGTCTGAAACGGCGCTACGGCAAATGTGATAAATGGCGTGAAAATGGTTACTTAATCATCTGTTGTTTGTTGATGATTATTATGCTTGATTTCTCACACCTTATTCAACGCCAAGGACTTTTCCAAAGTTAAAGATTCGTCTTAAACAATTCTGCTATTCTCAAAGTGAGTAAAAAATTTAATCTGCACATTTGTCTTTTTGCGATGCAGGTCTGTTGCTGTTGTTCGGAGCGTATCTGGCATGGGAAACCCGCAAAGTGCATATTCCTGCCTTGAACGACAGCAAAATGATTGGCGTATCTGTTTATAACGTCATCATTCCATGCATTCTTGTAATTCCTACTGTCGGACTGGTCCGTGACCGACCCACAACACAGTTTGCCCTGACGTCTTTTCTGACGTTATTCTGTACTACCCTTACACTGTGCCTCGTTTTCGTGCCGAAGGTGAATGAAATACAAAAGCTAATTTAGTCGGCTAAAAAAGCCATCTCTCCTAGCTCCTCGTCGCCAGAGGGACTTTTTGCCAGGCGAGAGACGTTTGCGCCTCAGCGACAGAAATTCCATACTGATGACATAAATCAACGTTTAAATAATTAAATCAGTAGTCATAGGTTTCGAAAATTAAATTTGTTCGATTTTAGGTTTCTCCTGGTCGATATTGGTAAAGTTTTCTTCTGCGAACGAGCTCGAGGAAAACTCAAATGCTTCTTCTAAAGAAGAATATATTCAACGAATGTTGACTGTTTTGTAATAGACTCATTGCGTTTACATTTGAACTTTGTGGCCTTTTGTCTCTTGTCTGTCATTCGTAGATAATAGCTAAAACAAGATAACTAATTAGTAAACCAATCAGAGCTCCTGACCAGATTCTGGACAGATTTTACGTCATCAGTATGGAATTTCTGTCGCTGAGGCACTGACGTCTCTCCTGGCGAAACGCCCCTTGCAGCGACTAGCGAGAAGAGATGGCTGTTTTAACAGGCTAACAAAGACTTGGTTGGCTTGATAAGGAAGATAAGGCACCGGACAGTGGCAGATCCAGACCTTCAGATAAGGGAGGAGGGGAGCCCGATCATCTATACCCTGAGATAATGGGGGGGGGGGGCGGAGCGGCTTCAAAAAAGACTTTTTTTGGCCCTTCGGACCTCAGTTTGGTATAAAAATAAGCGAGGAGAGGGTGGGCACTTCCCCTGGATCCTCCTCTGCCGTAGGAAAACTGAGAAGGTGAAGTTTCGAGCGCTAGCCCTTCGTCAGAGTCAATCAGGTGATTGTGAGTTGGAGCTTTGTTATTGGTGGGAACATCACCAACATGCATGGTAACGTGGAAAACAGGATGAACTGAAAATTCTTCGTTGATTTCGTGCGGATTTATAGTTTTAATTTGTTCTAAATGTATTGCCTCGTTGAATAGAGAGATCTCATATTACCAGGTTTTGGCAGAAATGAATCGGGAGATTTTAAATGGCGATCTAGTTGTTTTTCAGTGCGTCATTTTCATTTGCGTTCAACATCTCAAAGATATTAGCGGAAACGTTCGCCATGTTTTTGGCCTGTTTTGCCTATGTATAAATTCTTCCGTACATAGTACAGTCAGGTGGTGCAACCGCCGGATGTGCATGATGTGAAACAATGAGTGATCTTAAAAGACCTGTGCTGGTTAGGGTCCTGCAATGCCTAGTTTCTTGAGAAACTAAAACCTTCATTTCAAAGGTGAATAAAATACGTCTAACCCGGCTACGACTATTAATAAGCAGCATCACCTTGAAAAACGTTACCAGATTCGCATTATCTGAACTAGCACTAACGTGGAGAGTAGGAGTAATCTGCTAAGGATGTTCAGTGCTGAGGGCTCTGATGTTTCTAGTTCCTAAAAATTGTGCAGTGTTGGTGGCTGCAATGATTATATCTAAAGACTTTTGTAAAAAGCAGTTGTATTTAATACTGACAAAAGTTATTCGGTTACTTGTATCCACAATAGATATTTAATTTTTTTGGGATCGACTGTTATTAATTTCGTGGACTCAGATTTTAAACTCAACTCAAATTACAAAAGTCAGGAAGTGGACATTTGATTTGATTCATTTACAAACTCGATGAACTATTCAGTCGCGTCATATTAATTTTATGTACATGGGGGATTTACAATGGCTGTCTTTAATGTTCCATCTCTATTGTAAATACCCAAACAGATTATCCCCTGTATAACTTTCAATCAAGCAGTTTGGAAAATGATCGAAGGTAAATAAGTATGCAATGCAGAAACAGGGCACAAGCATTATCTGCATGTCTCGTAATAAAGATGCCTTTTTAAACTTAGATAATTTTCCTGAAAACAAAAGACGGTAATAATGTTCAGACAATCAGTGGCGGGACCGGAACAGATTCTGCAAACAAGGTATTCGCAAAATGTTCATTGATATTAAATATTTTTAAACAATTTACAATTGGTATAATTTAATATTTATATGCCTACCAAAAGAAAGTGAGGAAAGGCCTTAAGGTTACCACTTCACAGACTCTTGCATGTAAAACGATTACAATTACTAGTCGTGAATGTTTATAGAATCTTAAGTCAGATTAGCTGGATCTTACTTAATCTATCTTAATCGAGGGTATATGTTTTATCTTGTGAATACTTTTTTTCAGGTGCTGCCCAAAGAAATGGCTGAAACAATAACAGATTGTCAGGCTTAAAAAGGAAACGCGCGCATATATACGCCACAAAGCTACAAGAAGCGGTAGTGACTCAAGTAATGAATGCACTGAACAAGCGATTCAAGCACGAGGTTGCCTGGTTTCGCTTTCAGTTGCAGGGAAAATCTTTCAATTTATTTCGCCCCTGAGGAGATTTGTCATTTCCTTTAATTTATTTGTTTAAAAAAATCGGCTGTTTACTGGGTAATCAAAATCGTCCTGGTGATCTTTCCCCTGGAATCTACTCGAGAAAAGGCCTGAAGGCGAGGATGAAAGATTTACTACAAAAACTAAAGAGAATATCCTCGCTTGATTACTACCAATAATTTTACAATTATAACTGCTAATCTACAGAATCTTTATGTAAACCCGTTTGTCTTGTGTCCCCTTCAAGAGCAGCCACAACTTCCAAAAGTATAGCCATGGTTATATCGACAGCCAGTGGGAGTTCCTTACGACTTCGAATCTATAATGCATTATGGGGAGCGGGCTTTTGCAAAGTTCCCAAACTTAACCACCATACGACCTAAGAGGGCAGGGGCATCCATTGGTCAACAAGGCTACCTCACCGAACTGGATGACAAACAGATGAATCTTTATTACAACTGCACGGACCACCTACTTTTAACTAACTTTGTTGGACAGGAAATCAATGAATAAGATTGAAATAAACGAACTGGTTTACTTCCGTTTTAACTAAACGGAACATGTGCAGACAACCAACTATTTAAACTCGGTGAAATCCTGCTTCAGTACAGAATTAAAGTGACACTTAGATATTTCAATTACAAATACTTAGCTAATATTCAGACATGCACTAGCTGATGGTGTTGGAAAATGGCAATATAAAAGAATTAAACTGGCTGAATGGGTGTAACTTCCGGCATTAATTATGGATTGACCAAAAGATCGAACAGTAAGTTTCCAGCTTTTTTTCATCTACAATCCTGTGGGATCCAGGCCCCATGAATGTAACAATAAGCAGACGAAAAAACTGATTTTGTTTCTAAACTTTGCCTGTAACACAGATCTCGGGCCAAAAGATTGGTTGCGTGATCAATAAATGACAAGTTTGTACTGCAAAACTAGACAAAAGTGCGAAGTATAAATAAATATTTCTTGGGGATCTAGTAACGCATTGGGTTGAGACACCAACGGAGGAGGGAAGAGGAAGGGGGGGCGGTTGGAGGGGGATACTCCAGATTGGATGATGGAATGGGGGCAAAAATCAAAAGCCCCCAAAATCCCAAGGGCTTCCAGCAAAACCCAACAAAATCCCTGGACCTAAAGTTTACCTCCCAAAAATTCCATGTCGATTTCCTGAGCCTTAAACATTTCCAGAAGGCATTATTAATTAAATGATATAACACGAAATTTAAAAACATTAGAAACTGAATGAAGTGTTTTTTCTTCATCATACCATACACGGGCACTATACCACCATGAATCTTCAGATTGTTGTTAATACCGAAAAAAATCTTTACTTAAAACAAGCCCCCCCAAGAAAATACTTGCCAAATTTTCTTACCCAAGAAAATCTGGAATCGAAAATGGTTTTTCAAGCCTTAGTTTACATTTAGGCCTTCTGCACGTTACGACAAGCTTCAAAGGGCCTAATACTATTAACCTCCATTACCGTGTCAAAGGACTTTAAAAAATAATAAGAAGAAAAGCAAACTGTTGTCCTTACACGAGCAAGCGCTTCAAATTATAAAAGAAATAAGTAGAAAAAATTCATTTTTGTCATCATTGTCTCTTCCAATTGAGGAGACCCTCATTGAAAATGACTCTGAATGTGAGGAGTATTATTATTATGGTAATCACTGTTTCTGACAAATCTAGTGACGAAGCGATGTCAAAGATATTGTTCGAGGAATACCCCGTCCGGGCGAAAAAGAATAACTTGCAGGAAAAAAGCGGGAGGAAAGTTAACAACAAAACAACAACAACAACAGCAACGTCAAATAAACATTTCAACGTACAAATTAGTTGATGATGATGTTCCTACTTTTTCTTTGCCGGCACTGAAAAAGGCAATTGTCAATCATTACTGGGCGAATTTTTCCCACCTTTTGCTCCTGATTTCTACTAATTATATCTAACATTTGTATAGCTGATGTAAATAGAAATGTAATGCAAGCAATGCCTTTATGTAAAAAAAGACTACAAATATACTTTTCGTGAGCCCTTGCAGCTGGTTTAACAGTTACCTGACTAGGGGCAGAGTTTGAAAATTATTTCGTGTTCGGATTGGTTGGATTAAGACAGATGACCAAATACTGGCACTTTGAACTCTTGGAAATACTGCTAGCTACGAAGAATTTATATCTTGATTAAACAGCATTAGGTTGATATATCGGAGAGACGACTCGAGGAGACCAGCCTTTAACGTACAAGAATTGTTTAGGCCGAAACGCATTCTTCGTTAAAATGTGGTATTTATTTCTTATTCTCGCCATTTCCTCGACACTGGGGATTCCTGTTAATGAAGATGAAAGTGGAAAAAGAGGTAAAAGTAGACTGTTGACACACTTTCCCTTTATTTTTATTTTTCAAGAAACTTTCAAAGCCTTCATCGTATCAAGGCTTTGTGTTTCGGATTAAAAATGCTTTTAAAAGCGGGACTCAGTGATTAGTCGAGCCTGTCACCTTCGATAATCCGGCCGGCCGGCCGGCATGCTTGAACTTACTTAAAGGTAAAGCCCCCTCCAGCATATATACTCTATAGCTCTTGGTTTCAAGACGTTTTGAATATCTTAGCTTTCATCACAACGAGAACTCGACAGGCGAAGCAAAATCAGTTTTACTAAGGCTGATGTATGTGTCAATGAAGGGAGATTTTGGAAACTGACTTTAAACCAAGCTTTGGGTTGAATAGCATCGCTGCTTTGCAGTATGATTTTGGGTGAGTAAAGGTCGTCAGGCCCTGAAAGGTTAACTTTTCCTCGGTCCTGATTGTGCAATCCCAAGCAGTTTGGTCGAACAGGTGAAGCAAAAGCCCGCCGTTCAGCGTTTTCTTACTCGGTTAAGTAACAGTCTCGACCTTTTGATTTATCAGTGATCGAAAGTCATGTTCCATGCCTTGGTAGGTCTAGGTAGAATTAGTTAATTAGTTCTCATAATCATAAACGATCTTTCATGATAAAGACCATATCAAGTGAGACTAAAACGGTACTGATATATGCACTACGTTACGTGCCCGGGAAATTGTACAATCTGCTTGGCTGTTCCTTGATTGGTTACAGGGTATCGAAAATTTGAAGGTGATATGATGTTAACAGAAGCACAGATTCGAGCAGCGGAGAATGGATTAGACCCAACAAATCAGGGGCGAGCTAGAGGATTGACACGGAGAGGACAGTGGCCCGGTGGAGTTGTCCCCTACACCATTCATTCAAGCGCAAGTATGAAATTAGCGTAGAAAAGTGCAATATATTTGGCACTTTTCCAAGAGAGGGAAGGGGCGCTGAAGTGTATTGTTCATACCTAATTGTTTTGAGTAAATAACCTACACCGGGCCGGAAAAACCTAGGGGTACTCTTTATAAAGTCCTAGGGATCGCCTTTCAGGCTTCAGAGGTATATCAAAGGGTATAGGGAAATCTGTTATTTTGGTATTTAAAAGTTACTAAAAAACGCACCATATTCGCCCCTGTTTTAGGGGTTTAGAAAGCATCATTTTTCAATGGTATGTTAACCAAAATGGTACCTTTTCTGTCGCAAAATGCATGTTTCTAAAAGAGTAGGGGGTTGGATCTCTTGCTGGAGCCTCCTCGTATAACGCTTTGACGAGTATACCCGGGGGGTAAAAACTTTGGAAAATTATGACCTTTGGAAAATTATGTTCTCGATCGTCACGAATTAGACATGGTCGAAAAATGATCATCAAGCTTTTACCTTTCGTAATTGGCTTGACTTTGTACTTGGTATTTTTCTCTTTTGGTGCTGTATCGTCAAACGACACCCCTATTATCACAATACTTTCAAGATAAGCTATCCAAAGACCACCTCCTCAGTATAATTTCGACACAATACTGAAACCATCGTACCTGAGGGGTTTCCCTGTTATAAGAGGCCACCGTGGGCACTTAGTCTTTCACTTCATTAATTAACTTGAAACTGAAACTGAAATTACATTCTAAGGAGGGATGCATGCATGTTAGTCATCAATGCATTAAACGAGACTGATTTCTATACTTTACTTTTTCCAGAAAACAAGTTCTTGAATAAACTTGGAATTAAGGGGCTGACCGAAAGAGCAATATATAGTGCCATGAAAGAGTGGAAGGAAAAAACCTGCATCAGATTTGTGCCCAGGACTACTCAAAAAAATTACGTGGAGTTTTTCAAGGGTGATGGGTAAATAATTTTGAGAAATGTTCAACAGTTTATAATTTAAACATATCTTGGATGAATAACATAGATTAGTACATACACACTCAGTGATCTAGGTAATTCAAGCAATCTGATTGGTTAGCTATCTCGGACTATGACGTTATATTCACCGCGCTAGGCGGTGAATATAAAGCAGAACAAAATCGCTGTCGTGAACTGGGTGTTTTGCCGCAGTTTCATAGTTAAGCCTTTTTGAAAATACACGAATATCCAAGTGCTGATGACTTTGAAGGCAAGAAAAGACTTCATGGTGTTTAAACAGCGTGATTTAATGTGAAGTGGTTTACTGTAGCTGACTTTTTGTACACTCGAAGCTACGTTTACCACTACAGAGGAAAACGTTTGAAGATACTGTAAAGATCTAACATTTGCGCATCCACTGTTTACGGCTTCGTGTTCACGCATGAATTTACCCGTCAATCAAACAGGGGCACCCAACGACAATTTTCGGAAAATATCTGTTCGGAAGACGATTTGAGATCTAGAATTTTCGGAACATTGGTTGTAAAATTTCTTGCTTGCCTGCCTCTCCTGGGATTTTCAAACATCTAAAAAATGGCGTAATTGCCCATTTTTAACGGATTTTTCCCGTTAAAAAGTCACCTAGAATTTTCGGGAGCCTTTTTTCTGGCTGAAATTTTCGAAAAGGTAAGGTTTGATCCCTATAATTTTCGGATCACTAGACTTTCAGCTAGGAAATCCGAACAGATGAAAAATTTTCAGGGGATAAAAATATGCCTATATCTACCGTTTAAATACTAAAATACGTTTAACAATGCTTTGTTTAAGTGGTTTTGAACTATATTCTCGTTGGGTGCCCCTGAATCAAACTTATCGTTTTTTAATGGTTTCCTTTCTGATTCTGTTGAGATCACTTAGTGTGCATATACTAAAACAATTATTCACCTCAGGCTCAGTTAATATTGTTGAATATTCAACAATATTAACTTCGCCTTCGGCGAATAATTGTTCAATAATATACATCTAATGTTGAAAACTATTAATGCAAAATTGAATAACACTGAAAAATCTTAAATTGTACAGGATAAGGAAAAGCAAAGACGTTAATTAAGATTATGGATAGCTACTGTAGGCACGAGAGCCGGGCAAATTCAGTAAACTGAAATCCACTGTCTTCTCATCAAACTTCATGTATATCCTCAAACTACTCCTGCTGCTATTTGAAAAATACTTAGTGGGAAAGCTGTTTCGATAGAGCTATTTTCGTATGACCTTGAAATGAAAACGCGCCAAAAAAAAAGAAACAACAAACGAACGAAATAGAGCGATTTGATTGGTTTATCGAACGGATATAAACGCGCGTGACTTTTGGTTGGTTAAGCGAACGCTCGTGTGGAAAAACTTTATGCCCGAGAACTTTCTAGAAATCAACCGATACTTTGCTTTGACGTCATACTCTAACAAGATTGGCCAATTGTAGAATGCGTTCTCCGTATTAGAGTTTTCTTTGGCGAGAAAACGAAGAGATCATGTTTTGATCTTTTAATCCATTGGCTGATAAAACAAATGACGAACACTTACCGAAACCATTTTTCAAGGTCATACGAAAATCGCTCTATCGACGTATTAACGTTTCTCGGCTCGTTAGGCAGACTTAAAGGTCACCCCATGTAAGGGAATCCAAGACAGTCTTGGATTCTGGATTCCACAACGTGGATTCCGGATTCCTGGCACCTTAGTAGAACTTGGATTGTGGATTCCAATCCTTAGTAGGATTCCGGATTCCTTGAGCTGAGTATTTCCGGATTCCACGAGCAAAAATTTCACGGATTCCGGAATCCGCATTCCCTTACATGGGGCGATAAAAGGTGATATTTGCTATCTTTTTAACAAGCTAAAACTTGTTTCGCATCAACTGAATTCCAAAAATAATGGTCCTGATTTGTTATTTTAGGACTATATTTAGGAATCGAAAATGTTTCCTGTCGTCTCTTGCAACGGATGGCAAGGATAGACATGGATTGAAACTTGAGGACGTTGGGCCAACCTTCTCAAGTATTAATGATATGCCTGTAAAAATCACCAAAACATTATTTTGTTATAGTTAGTGCTCCTTAATGAAAATTGTTTCCTACCACCAGTCTTCATAACTCTACTAGAGCATTTTTGTATGGATCAGTAAAGGCGCTAAGTAAAGATTGACCTAAGAAAAAATCCGAAAACAGCAACATTCTCGTGCCCCTTTAACCTCCTTCTCTCAACCCTAAACACAAACTTTAAAAATGCACGAATCAAAAGAGACCGCGTTTTGGGTCTTTCCGGGGCAGGTCTAGGATTGATTTTTAGCGCTTAAGTTTATCGATTTAAAGTTATTTTAAATGCCCTGAATTTTTGCAGTTGCTGGTCTCACGTAGGCTGCCTTAAGAATGGGAAGCAGAGAATTTCAATTGGAAGCTTTTGTTGGTTCCATGGTATTGTTGTTCACGAGATTGGTCATGCTTTAGGTACAAGTATACTTTCTTATTTACTTTAAAAGGTACCCTAGACCGTTTATGGATAGAAAAATATCGTATCTTTGTCCTGAACACCTTAAGTGAGACCAAAATCAGTGATTTCTTCCCAGTGAGCAAGACGACGAGCATCCTCGTTACTTTCAAAGTGGGAATCCACCAACATCCACAGCCGGATGAAATAATATATTGGAATTAATCCTAAAGGAAATTAACCAATAATCAACTCAAGATTTATCTGACTCCCTGAGAGGCAGATATTATATACTAAAACAGAGAGCCAAACAAGAGTTGAGGGAATTTCAATTTTAATAAAGGCGTTGTAATTGAATGCTAGCCTGCCTTTCCTCTGATAGCAGCAAAGGAAATAGGAGACTTCTGGGATTTACCCTTTTCTCCTTTATCTTATTTTATTTTATGTTTTATATTATATTAATAATATTATTATATTTTATATTCCTTATCTATGTTTTTCACTTGTTTTTGGTTCCTTCATTTTTACATGTAGCGCCCATAGCAGTACCTATTATTACGGAAAATAGTAGCGTTACGTCCTCTGCTGCCTCTACCCTCTCTGCACCCTAAGGCCCTACCAGCTTTTTTGTTTGTAGCCCACTAACATGATCATTTTGATATAAGCAGGTCGTTCTTTTTCAAACATAAAATAGGAGGCTTACAGTTCATTGTAAAGTACATACCATAAGGGTAGTGAAAGACTATAACACGATTATCACGGATTACTTCTTTCACAGGATTCTGGCATGAACAGAGCCGTCCTGATCGAGATAATTACGTGGAAATTGTTTGGAAAAACATCAAAAAAGGTATTTATCTTTATTGAAAGACTGAAAAATAATACTGACTTTCAGCGCCCAAGTCAGTGATTCAATGGTTGCAAGATCATTCTCTCTTGATGGTTGGCAGTAGATGCACTCTAACAAGATTCATCCAGTTGAAAGTATTCTGAACTTAATGTACCGCGTGGTTGAATGTTTGAATTCCTGCAACTTGGAAGACGTCAGTTTCGTCTGTGAGGATGAACTGCTTCTGTTCTGGGTCTTGGTTTCAGGCACTGAGTGGAATTGATGACGTATGCTGCTGAGGCATGGAGCATGTAGTATGAAGCACGAAAAACTCTAAATGAGTGACGAATTCAATCGCGAGGGAGGCCCGAATCCAGGAAAGAGCTTGACAGCTTTCTTGTGAAGCGAGCGAAGAGTGGGCGGTTCGAGTGTGTGAGATCGAGAAAACTTATACTGCAATTTCCTCTTATTTTAATTCATTTATTTACCTATTTATTTACTTTAAAAAATCGGTCTGTTTTAGCAATTTATCAATCTTGTCCCTGTGGCCTTTCCCTTGGAATCCACAAGAGAGGAGCCCTCGAAACGAGGTTGAACGATTTATCGCAAAAGAGAATATCGATATCCTCACTTGTTTATTTACGACTTACAATTACCCCAAATGAATAGAACCATTATGTAAATACATTGCATTTGTCTTGTCTGTACCCTCAGAAAAGAAGCACAACTTTAAGAAGTATGGCCATGGTTCTATTGACAGCCTGGGAGTTCCTTACGACTACGGATCCATAATGCATTACGGGAAGCGAGCATTTGCAAAGTGGCCATGGCAAACTACCATACGACCTAAGAAAAAAGGGGTATCCATTGGTCAAAGAAAACGCCTCAGTCCACTGGATGTTAAACAGATGAATCTTTATTACAATTGCAAGAAATAAACCTTTTATGCTCCTTTCTAAGTCAAAATTTCGGAGAGAGAGAGAAAAATAACAATAAACATAGAAAAGAACGGACAATGGAACTCTTCCCTGAAGTCGATCTGTCTTCCATTTTACAACGAGGCTAAAGTTGACCTTGTTTTGATACAAGCCTTCCTGCTTTGTTATGTAAATCATGTAGCTGATATGCTAAGTGGTATTTTTTATTAATAAGTATAATTTTCATGATAAAAGGAAAGAGGTTTGTTAGGTCAACCTCAGCCTCACATTCACCCAAAGGCTAGGATACTAAGCTCACAACTGTAAAATGGTCACAGGGCATTTCTATGCTTGTGTTCACCAAAGTAGGAGCGGAGCTTTGTCCTACTGTTCTTTGCCGTTTTTGCTCGAGTTGCATGTGGAAAACGACTTCGCAGTGATCTGCATAAATCAACGCTTTTGCTCACGGGTGCTCAAATGCAATAGACCTCGTCTCTGTCTTCCATTTATTTTAAAATCAGTTAAAAGAGATGGCTATGATCTTTGCCCCTTGTAGCGCTTGTGACGTCATCAGTTTTAACGATCATATTGAGAACGTCATGCCAGGACTTTGCTTGGCACGATTCAGTCCAACTTGCTCGAGGAGAATTGACAGAAACGCAAACTGACAGTGAAACTTCCAAGCGCATTTGAACATCTGGCATCCATATGGCGATGGACATAAACCTTTAGTTATTCAAGAATCCGTCATATTTACACACCCGTCAGGACAAACTGATAATGTTTGCTAATACGAGTGATTGCAGTGAAGTTTGTTTATTTTCTCAAAACGAGCCGATGATTTTAGACATGAAAAATGTACAGTTCGAGTTCGAGAAGTTTCACGTCATTACTACTTGCTGTTGTGACATTTACGGCCGCTACTTCGTCCAAAAAAGTAGCAATGATTACTTTCACTCATAATTTGCCATTATTGTCTTCAAGATAAAAAGGTTAGTCATTTTCTGTTGAATAGAATAACAAACTCGACCACGATTTCTTGCTATCAGCAGATTTAATTGGCCCCCTGAAATACCACGTGACATTGCTTTTATCCCACTATTATTACTGCGCATACTTTCTGCGCATCCCAATGAATCTGCGCTCTAAACGCGAGAAATGAGCAACAAGCAGGACACGTGGACTGGTTAAAACTTTGTTACATTTGAAAGTCTCGGAGGGTCTAGTTGTTTCTTGTGGAAAAGATGCGTCCTTTTTCATCAGAGGACATATAAGTTGTATTATTTCCGCCGTATGATCGTTCAAGTTCATATTCGATTCACTCTGCAGCAAACAAAGGCGCCATCTGTATAAACTGCAATATTTTAAAACTGCAATCAAGGTAACAAATCAAGGCCGTGGTTTTTTAGGGTTTTCATTAATCCCCCCTTTCGATCGCATTACCGTCATTTTAACTCCGGAGCGGTAAACCCTCATCGTCCCTCCCCCCTGCGTATCTTCGGCATTTTCAGACGTTTGATCTTACTAGAGCCGCCCAAACAAAAAATACTCTCTACCTTTTATGATAGATATTTAGAAATGCAGCTGCACATTTTTAACTCTCAATGGCGCACTATGATTTATCAGTTTCACACTACTCGAAAGTTTGTTAGCGTACAGTTGGGTCCAAACTAATTGTAGTAAAGCTGTTAGTTTCAGGATTGTAGTTTTTGAAAGGGTAGGGATTTCACTAGTTGAAATGTGTGAAAAGGTAGAGAAATCTGTCATTTCGGTCTTTAAAAACGCCTGCTAAAAATGGCTAACAGATGCATTTTATGGCTGTGTAAAAGTCCAGAAAACGTTCCGGTTTTGTGGTTTAATCCTATTTTAAAGACAACGCAGTTACAGCAGTAAAGTGAAAATTCGTAAACAAGGTGGGTGAAATAGGTACCATTTGTCAATGGAAAAGATACGAAAGAGATACCTTTTCTTTCAAAAATGGTATGTAAAAGGATAAGGGGTTGAACCTCGGGGCAAGCCTACCCGTAATCAACTTTGTTAAGTACCCCCGGGGATCAACGTCGTTCCGCTTGAATTAAAATCTTCGATGCCCTATCAGTCTCTATTCACAGACATTATGATAAACATGTTACTAACATCACATGCTCGATCCGTACTGTTAGTTACGCAACTTTTCTTGCCAGGATCCCATGATAAATCCGAGCAGAACTTGTAGTACAAATTCGGTTAGTAAGAGGTGTTACGAGCACTGATCATGAAGGTTCATCAAACACGCTTTTGTCCCCAGCGGCCTTACATTCCCATCAAATTTTTATAAAGCAAACGCAGACGGAACAGAAGGAGAAGGAGAAATTTGCATTTTATGTCTTCATGATCAGTTGGCGTATGCTCTTGCGTTTGTGCTTCCATGTCCCGGGGGGATTGGTGGGAAACAAAGTCTTAAATGAGGAGGCTCCCGCGACTCCGAAGTCCAACCCCATACTCTTTAATATCCCATTTTTAACAGAAAAGGTTCCCCTTTCTCATACCTTCTATTGACAAATGGTACCCCTTTCATATACCTGGTTAAGAATTTTGCATCCCTTTTAAATGTTGTAAATGCACTGTCTTTTAAATATGAATAAATCACTAAACCAGAGAGTTTTCTCTACTTTTCACAGCCATAAAGTGCATCTGTTAGCCCTTCTGGTCCCTTTTACAGACGGAAATGACAGATTTCGGTACCCTCTCAAATAATTCAACTGGTGAAATCCCTACCTTCTAAATGCCTGAAGGCTGAAAGAGGTACCCCTTTCGGGCGGAACCTCCCCGAACAGGCCATTATAAGGAGAATTTGTCAGTAGGGAAGGGAATTATAGGAAGTAACTATCCTGCATTATTGGAGTATTTGTCATTTAGCATCTGTCAGTATACTTCTTCGCGCATTTGAATTATATGGACTAGCCTTAATGAATTTTCGCCTACAATCTCGGTCTTCTAACACTGGTTATTTTATACTAGTGATGAACAACATCAACAGACCAAAAGATATTGTCAGTTAATCTCTTTATTCTTCAATATTCCAAGCACCATTTGAGTACAGGTATTCTTGATCAGACCTAAAGACCTATAAAAAAAAGATATAGTCTATTTCATTATTTGTACAGGGTAGAAAGTATATAACGTGCTTTTAACATATAGGAGATCATTTTTCGGGTATAAGTGGAAGGTAGCTAGATTTCTGATTACCCCTGTGGTGTGTGTTGTAACTTTTAAAATTGCAATTTGCGGTGCGCCTGAGACTGACGAGTTGAATTGCATCCTCGAAATTTTTGACCCAATTTCGAGGGTTCAATGGGGGGGTGGCTTTTACGGTTGTCGGCAAAAATTTTGGCTCTTTTACGGCTATCGGTTACGTTTTTTCAGTTACGGTTAACAAGAAAGTTAAAAATTAATTTCTTTAGTTTCAGAGAGTTTAATATAAATAAACCTGTATTTTTTGAATCTTCAAAGCAAAATAAAGGTCTTAGGATCATCTCGGGATAAAACGAAGTTATTCTTTTGAAAACTTTTAACATTTGATAGATCATACTATTTATAAAGTATCCCATTTCTCATATTATTTTACGCATGAAAATGTCAATAGTCAATTCAAAAATAATCTTTGTGAAAAAGCAAAAGCAGACACCCGAACGCCCAACTCAAGGCACGGGGGACATTCATTTATAACAGAAATGGCCGTTTTTACACTAGGGTAGAGACGGATTATTCGTGTGAGGTGGGTTATCCGTTTGATAGTTGGCGCCAGATAGGTAATACCTCCTGGTAATACGTCGTAATTTGAAAATGGAATGGTTTTAATTTTGAATAAACAATCAGTCTGACTTTATTCGTCAATTTTGACGGACTGTTTGAAGAGGATTATCCATTTCAGAGAGCCTGTGTACAGCCGCTCCCTCCCCTCAGAAAAAAATCGGAGAAGGGGTGTCTGTGGGGGAGGGGGCGACTGTGTACAGGCTAGTCTCTCTAATCAATGCACAAAGAGCAGTAAAATTATCACTTTCAACTTCAAATTGTTACATCGCCGGTTACCAACTAACTGTTTCTTAAAAAAAGTCGGACTTAAAGACGATGATAAGTCTTCTTTTTGTTATAAGGAAACGGAAAACTTGATACACTTATTTTGGAGATGCGAAATAACAAAAAATTTTTGGGATAGTCTTTTTAAGTGGATGCAGTCTTGCCAACTTTCTTTGGGTGAACATAATTACTTACACATAAATACGGCTTTGGGTCTGAGGCCAGATAGATCTAAACACAAACTCCAAATCAATTTTTGTTGCTTAATTACCAAGCTCTATATCTGGCTTTGTCGCTCAAAAGAACAGCCCCCCAATTTAAACAACTTCTTGCTGTATTTGAAACACATTTATCAAATAGAAAACAATGCCTCTACTGTCAAGAATAAATGGGAACCGCTTGTTGCCTTATATAAGCCTTTTGACCTGAGTCTTCAAAACTTAATTAAATATACATATCTTCTCTACATCTCTTTTTTGGTTTTGTTTGGTTTCGACTGTGCCCTTTTACCCAAGGAAAAAAAAGGAAACGAAAGAGCAGGGAGAGAAAAAGGAAAACACGGACCAGATGTATCAACTTCGCTATTTGCTTTTAGCCTGTTGCTCTCCTCTCAATTGATGCTTTGTTTGCTTCTCGATGTGTGTTAATTTTTTGTTTGTTTTTGTTTTTGTGAACGGAAGTTGCGTAAGCACGTTTAGGCTAGGATCACGAGTTTTGCAACCGGAGACGTTTGAGATAGGACAATAGGTTTGCGTGTGTGAGAGATAGAACAAATATTAGAGACGCGTTGGAAAACCACGGGGAAAATAAAAACAAGGATTTGTCGAGTACAATTTGTGAGTTCGTGAGTTTAGAGTGTACCCCACAAGTTCGGTACATTTGTGGTGCCGAGACCAGGATCAAGGAAACTGCGGAGACAACGATACAGGATTTGAGACTTTAGACTAGCCGCGTGGTCGGTGCAGTAAAGCAATTTCATGGCAGAAAAGGAGCAGCTTTCAGAAGCGCTGGAGCGCCTAGAAAGAGACATCGATAAGGAGGTCACAAAGTTGAAATACTACATGGAGCCAGCCGACGAGCTTATTGAAAATAACGATTACTTAGAGATGGAGATCGCCGTAAAACAAGGGACTCAAATAATCAGCAAAATTACGGATCTTATTTCACAACTGGAAGGCTTGAAGCTGGACTTTGGAGCTTCGGCGCGAGACGTTCGACAGTGGAAGAAGGACAAGAAGAACGAGTTTGCTCCCTTTGTGCAGGAAAGAGACAAAATTTCCGAATTATTGTCAACTAAACAAAGACAAAGGGACGAGGAAATCGAGAAGCAGAATTGGGAGGCCAAACGGGAGCGTGAGGAACGCGTCACGCGAGAACGACAACAACGAGAAAAGGAATTCTGGGAGGAGAAGTTCAGAGCCGAGTTGCGTGTGGCAGAGCAAAAGTTGGAGATGGAAACTGCCGCGAAGGCTACTCACGCAAAGCTTCCTAAGTTAAGAATTACACCTTTCAAGGGCACATCATCGGATTGGGTCCGATTTGAAAATATGTTTGTCACGCAAGTCCATAGTCGACCAGTTCCAGACGAAGAGAAATTTGGCTACTTGTTAGAGATGGTCGTACCCAAGGTAAGAGAGAAAATTTCTAACCTTAAACCAGGTACCTTGGGGTACAAAACTGCATGGCAGAGATTACAAAAGGAATACGGGCAAACTAAGCTTGTTGTGAACGCCCACATGGACGAAATCATAAACTTGACACCAGTAAAAGGGAGCAGTTTCGAGAAAGTAAGAGAGTTCTATGAAGTGCTAAGCAAAAATTACGACGCCTTACAAACCCTGGGGGAGGCTGACATGTTGAGAGGATTCGTGATGACGACGCTGAAGAAATTACCGCAAGTTAAACCCGATCTTGTTAGAGTTGACGATCACTGAGAGGAATGGGGAATGAAGGAATTAATTGAAAACCTGCAAAAGTGGCTCAAAAGGAACAAGGTGGATGACTCGTCGACTGACGCAGGGGACTCGGGAAAAAGGGAACGGCACTTTTATACAAGGGGAAAGAGGGACGCCGGCCGCGAACCCAAAGCCCCTTCTTGCCTATACTGTCAAGGTGACCACTGGGGGGAAGCCTGTGGAGTCTTCGACACCACAGAAAAAAGAAGAAATTTCTTTCACGAAAGGAGGCTGTGTTACAACTGTGGACGTGAGGGTCATGGGGCGAGTTACTGCCGAAGTCGCCCTTGTTTCAAGTGTAAGTCAAGACACCACACAAGCCTGTGTGACAGACATTTGGTGAACGGAGCGAGTGACGGCACGGTGTTCACAGCATATAACCCCGGCTCAGAAGATCGATCGTTACCAGCCATCATTCCGCTGAAGATTCAAGGAATCACCTTGTGGGCTTACTTGGATACAGGCTCGGGGAGGAATTTCATATCAAGAGAAGCAATCGAGAAGCTAAATTTGAAGCCTACGCGCCATGAGTCACGCCAATTCGTCACTATCAACGGCATCCAGAAACAGTCCCTGCCCATATTTGAAGTGAGACTTGATTCTTTAGATCATAGAACGAGTGAGCGGGTAGAAATCACAGGGAGTAAGATGGCGGATTTCACAACCGTGAAGAGACCGACTGTTAAGGAGTTAAAGACAAGATACGAACATGCCCGAGACAAACAGTTTTACGTGACACGAAGTGAAGAGTATCCTATTCACGTGATCTTGGGTGACAGAACCTACTGCAAAATAAGGACCGATCAAACATTCAAGGGACGCCCTGAGGACCCAATAGTAGAGGGCACGACGTTTGGATGGGTCATCCATGGAGGCGTGGAGTACACAGACAACAAGTGTATGTACGTCAAAGAGGTGAGTGACTACGAGAAGCTCTACACCTTAGACGTGTTGGGGGTAGAGGATAGAGGAGAGGATGATCAGTCGGACGTGCTCAGTAGTTTCAAGGAGAGCGTCAAAAGGGGAGTAGACGGCCGATACGAAGTGAGCGTGCCTTGGATTCCAGGTAGTTCCTTGTCTAGTACGAACGAACAGCCAAGCAGGAGACGCCTAATCAGGGTTGAGAGGAAGTTGAGCCAAAACCCAAAGTTGAGGGAAGAGTATGAAAAAATCGTGAGAGAGCAGCTAAAGGAAGGAATAGTGGAGGTTGCGCCCAAAACGCCGACCGGAGACCGTACTTTCTACATGCCTCACAAACCGGTCGTTAGGGAGAGCGCGAGTACAACCAAAGTGAGAATGGTCTTTGACGCAAGCACGAAACCACACCCACTTGCAAACAGCATAAACGAATGTATGTACACGGGTCCGCCACTTCAGCCCTTACTGTGGGACGTCTTGATCAGAGCACGCATGTCCACCCATCTTGTTCTAGCGGATATCCAAAAGGCGTTCTTGCAGATTGGTGTTAGAGAAGAGGATCGGGACGCATTCCGGTTCCTGTTTAACATAAATGGTAAAGAACAACACCTGAGCTTCACCAGAGTCCCATTTGGGGGAGAGTCAAGTCCATTTCTGTTAGGTGCTACCCTAAACTACCATTACGATCAGCAAGGCGAAGAATTTCAAGAAACCGTCCAGGCCTTGAAGGAGAACACATACGTGGACAATTTGATGAAGACCGGGGAAGAAGAGCAGGAACTGAAAAAATTCAAAAGAGAAGCAACCAGCACCCTGGAGAGTGCAAAGTTTCCCGTCCATAAATGGGAATCAGACGTTGAGACCCTAGAAAGTGAGGATTCGACAAACCCTAGCAAGATCCTCGGGATAACGTGGGATAAAAGAGATGACACGCTGGAGGTCCAAGTACCAGATCCGTCTGATAACCAGCTGTTGACAAAGAGAGGAATACTGAGCCACCTTGCAAGTATTTACGACCCGCTAGGGATGATTTCACCTACAACTGTGAAGGGGAAGCAGATCTACAGAGACGCATGCGATGAGACAAAGGGGTGGAAAGCGGACGTTTCAGACCAGCTAAAGAGAGATTGGATCAAATGGTCTAGTCAACTAAAACCTGTGAGAATTCCAAGAAGTGTAACGAGAGGAGTAGGTCGGATACAAGCCGTACATCTTCACGTGTTTGCAGACGCTAGCAACATTGCATGTTCCGCAGCAACCATAGCTGTGGTCGAAGGTGAGACAGGAGTGGTCAAAGGTCTACTGACATCAAAATCGAGAGTCTCAAAACGAAACACATCCATAGCGAGACTAGAGTTGGTGAGCGGACAGATGGCAGCGAACATGGTCAGAAACCTGCACAAAGCACTTAAACGATGGCCCATCGTTTCCACAACCGTGTGGATGGACAGTATGGTCGCCCTGTATTGGATCAGAAATCCGGGGAAACCTTGGAAAGTTTTCGTATCAAACCGAGTCAAGAAGATGGCAGAAATTACCGGCGAGACAGGGATCAGCTGGAAGTATTGTCCAACAGAGAAGAATTTGGCAGACCTGGGAAGCAGAGGAACTGGAGTTCACAAGATGGAGACCGGAGGGTGGTTTACAGGTCCTGAATGGTTATTAGACGAGAAGCAGTGGCCGGATCAGCCAGATTTTGAATGCACAAAGGACGTCAACGATGAACACAAACCTATCAAGGAAGAAAACCTCTACACTAAAGAGCACAAGCCCGACGAGTGGGAGGCACTGTTAGAGAGACACAGGTATTGGAAGACTCTGCCAGTAACGGCCTGGGCACTGAGGTTCCTGAAAAATTCCTTGGCGAGACGACAGAGAGCAACGAAGCTGACGGGGCCGTTGACACCGGAGGAGATAAGAAACGCAAAGAAACGTTGGATCAAGAAGGTCCAAAGCAGTACCTCTCCAAATTTACGAACACCTGGCTGGGAGCTAGTCAAGGACGACACCAGCATCCTGAGGTGTAGTGGAAGAATTTCCGGTTACAACCCTATATACATCGAAGGGGGCTGTTTGGCGAGAAACTTATCGCTCATACGCATGAGCAGATAATGCACGTGGGAGTTGCAAACACAATGGCGAACATACGGAACGAGTGGTGGATCCCAAGGCTGAGGTCCAAGGTCAAAAAGGTGATCAATCGATGTAACACTTGCAAAGTATTCAGCACAAAGCCCTATGGATCCACAACGACAGCTGCAATGCCGAGGTTTCGGGCGGAGGAAGGGCGGCCGTTCGAAACAACTGGAGTAGATTTCGCTGGTCCACTTGACTACAAAGTCACCAAGAAGGAGCGAGGCAAATGTTACGTCTTGATTTTCACTTGCGCCACCTCAAGAGCGGTACACCTGGAAGTAACGAAATCACAGACGGCGGAGGAGTTTCAGAGGAAGCTGAACTCGTTCATTGCCAGGAAAACCAGACCTCGTCTCATCATTTCAGACAACGCCTCGGTATTCAGGGCTACCGCAAGCTGGATAAAGAAGATACGGAAGAGCGAGAGGCTACAAGACCATCTTGCGAGAGAAGACATCAGATGGCAATTCAACCTTTCCAAATCCCCATGGTGGGGTGGAATGTATGAGCGGGTTATCAAAGACCTAAAGAAGACTCTTTACAAGACGTTACGCAGGACAACACTAAACTTCGAGCAGCTCGAGACGGTGATAGTCGACATAGAGAGGCAAATGAACAACCGCCCCTTGACATACGTCGAAAGTGAGGGAGGGGAGGAACAAGTTTTGACCCCGAATGTACTGATGTGGGGGCAGAACGCACACGAGATAAAGGAAATAGAAGAAGACGGAGACGAAGTGAGCAAACTTCACAAGCGACTGAAGGAAGCCAAACAGCATGCGTGGAAAAGATGGAAGCATGAATACATACGCAGTTTGTTGGAGAGCCATCGAGTTAACAGGAAGACCGCCCTAGTACCGGACATTGGAGAAATCGTGCTAGTCGTTGGCGATGAGAAAAACCGAGCGAAATGGAAGAAAGGAAGAGTAATGCGTCATGTTCGAGGGAGAGATGGGGTCATCAGAGGAGTAATTTTGCTGCACAAGGGCCATCACATTGAGAGACCACTAACTTTGGTCTGCCCACTGGAGATTAAAGGGCCGGTCGCAACTGAGGACGCACCCTTGCAGCTGACGCCTGGAAGTCAACAGACAGAGCGTTTCAGGATTAGAAGACAAGCCGCTGAGACCGCAAAGGAGAAAATACGACTGATCACTACGGAGGATGACGATGACTGAACTCGTTCTAGTTCAATTAGTCATTTAACTTTGAACACTGTTTCGGTAAAAATTAAGTGACACTTTTAATTTTTAGGAGAGTGTGAACGGAAGTTGCGTAAGCACGTTTAGGCTAGGATCACGAGTTTTGCAACCGGAGACGTTTGAGATAGGACAATAGGTTTGCGTGTGTGAGAGATAGAACAAATATTAGAGACGCGTTGGAAAACCACGGGGAAAATAAAAATCAAAGAAAGACTATCGTCAACTCGTGGGTACGTTGTTTAGAAAGTAATCAATTAGTTATCACCTCTGGTTTTCCCACAGTGAATTTTAGGAAATGATAGAAATTCATATTATAAATATACTATCCTTGTTCTGGAAACACAATACTTTTCTTGCTGTTTATTGCACTTTAGTAACAGTTATTTAAGTATATATTTAAAAACAAAACAAAAAAAAACAGCAAAACAAAATAAGCAAACAAGACAAAACAAAAAAGAAAAAAAAAAGGAAGAAGGGAAAAGGAAGGTCTCAGCAGGATTTGAACCCAGTACCTTCGGTTTGACCCGACTTCACACAGCCACTACGCCATTGAGGATGGTCAGGTGATTCAGCGAAAAGTCTCAGATTTAATGCCTTTTCCATGAACTTCCGCCGGCAAACGATCGAGCCATAAAAACGAC